TCAGCCCAGATTTAAACTCCTGGCAGGACAAGCTCAATTCTCGCACTGAATTAAAAAAAAGTGAGTGAGGGACTGCAATATAAGAGGGAAAGAAAGAGAAACTTTAAAACTGTTCAATTGTTATGATGTGTAAAGAGTGATATTGTATAATCGTCTGAAACTGTTAAGTCATGATGTGAAACGGTTAACAAAGAAAAAGGGAAACTCAAGCTGCTGCTACACTTTATTTTATTTAGCTAAAATTAAGCACTTTTAAGATGCACATATTTTCAAAAGCTATTTTATTTATTTTCTCTATTTTATTTTGAAATGCAGCCAGAGAGGAACATTACACATATCCACAGTATTTACTGTATATCTGTATAGTTCAATGTTAATTGACAATAAATATTGTTGTTTATGAATTGTACTTTCTTTATTTGATTGGCAGTCAGTTGTTGATTACATGCAGACGTTGATAAAGCTACAGGCTACTTCAATATATATCACACTAATTCATAAAGCAAGTTAGACATTTTGAAGTTCCGGACCTTTGCATGGGGAGATTTTCTCTAACTGGACCTCGTTGAATTTTAGTTGAATACCCCTGACTTAGAGTATCTGATAAAATCATTTAATTGGAGGTTTTGGATGATTGACCTAGAACTGAGTACCCGGATGAGCACATGCAGCTCGGGGAGGCTCGGAGTCGGCTCGAATTAGGTGTGCTCGATTTATCACAGGGACTGCACCGCTAAAACTGCCACTGAGCGTTTGGTCGAGCAAAGCCAACCCCACCTACTATCAGCACTTTTCATCTTAAATCAATGTGAGCCAGCCATGTTCAATTAGCCTATAAAACATGTAATCGTCATTATAAAACAAGAGTAGCCACTGATCACATAATTGGTATTAGTTTGTAATGAGATTAAAGCCTGATAACAAGGGGTGAAAATTACAGTCAAAGATTAAATCTAACCTAAAATTATGTTTTTCTAAATCAGGAATTTTGGTCACGTCAAAACACACATAAAACAGAATAACAGATACATACCAACACTTTATATTGATTATGTTACATTGTGTTATATTTATTGAATTAGTTTATTTTTTATGGGAATGAGTGTCTGACATCATGTAGTCTATGTTATTCTTAGACATAACCCTATACTTTAAAAGGAGTTTATTTTGTATATTTTGCTTACAGTCCTGAAATAAACAACGTTACCGTGTATGGACCAGTAAGTGTAAAAGAGATAGATGCTGTAATTATCAATATATTATTTAAAAATTGTTTAATCTGTTCCTTCTGTGTTTTATTACACAGAAATGCTGTAAAACGAAAGAGGAACGTGCTGTTATGAATTGAGAGGAACATCACTCTGCCTGCTGAAGCGTATATGATCCAGGCCTGTGGAGCTTTACAGTATCTACATTTAAAGTAAGTTTCTACCTTTACAGGCTTATTAACTTGCTCTGAGCATTGCTGTTGTAGTCATAAAGAAAAGCCCAATAGAGAAACAGATCAGCTTTGCTTGAAACAGCTGTGACTCAGGAACCAAAAAGGTCAGTAAAATCTCTACTGCAGCTTTCAAACTCAAACACAATGTAGTTTTCAGATACACCAGAAACGGCCTTATAGTGGCCTCGTATTCCCAGACACTTTTAGTGTGGTTTGAACTAGATGTGCTTGTAACCCACAACATGCTTTTTTCTTAATATCACATAGTCAAAAAGGTTAGCTCAGGCCATCTTCTTAATGAGGAAGGATTGAGGGGTGATGGAGCACACCACTGCAGTGGATCAGCCTCTGGGTTTGTGCTGACAGGGCCATAGTTTTACCCTCCTCATTGCTGAATACATTTGTATTTGTATTGCTTATGCCAAGGACTTGTTCACAACAAGTTTCACTATGAACAGTTTATTACGTAAAGTAGGCTGTGCTGGGTTACTTATGCAATTGCATGTAGTTTAGAAAGTGGACACTAGATGGCAGTCTTAACCAGGATTGTCTTGAAATGCCAGTAATCCCATTCATCACGTTTTAAAATAGTTACCCTGTCTTTATTGATTTGTGGTTCTCTTACTTTCAAAAGCAATAGGGTTTATTTATCCCTACTTTTAGATTTGGATTTTTAAATATAGTAGTTAGATTCTATATTTTTCTAGAGCAGTCACAGCGTTGACTCCATAAACAGAAGGTTTGCTTTACTGTCGAGAATGTGTTTGCTCATTGCCTCTTAAATGATAATAAGCACTACACTGTATGATTGTGTATACTTAAGTATGAAAATCATTATAATTTAGCAGAATACGATGTAATATAAAACAAAACTAATTCTAGAGCCATGTTATCCAAATATATATATGTAATTGCTAAAATGCTAATAATGATATGCTCTGTCAAATTAAGCAGGTAGCCCGTAATGTCTGCCATGTGTACCATCTATGTGTGGGATGGTAGCATGCTGACATAATACACATTAATAACCAAAATCTGCTTACACTGATTTCAATTCGTTTTACTGTTATTTACGCCTATGACAAAATATTACACACATTCATCTAATTCTGTACCATTTTTGGGCAATCCATCTAACAGCTGCTCAGCTATTTCAGTCTGGACGAAATTGGTGGGCTAACAAGTCGACCAAAAGACCACATTAAGCCAATTTCATCCCGAATTCCCTGCTGATAGTGTGGCTCATAAACAGGAGACGCTGATGTGTCTTCGGCTGGTGGCAAAAAAAAGGATTTTGGCTCAAAATCACCCTTTCTTAATTTTCCATTTCAAATGATCCCCTGCTTCACCTTCCAAATTAAAACCGTTTCTCGGTGAAAAGGCTAATTTGCACCCAACCCACATATGTAACTGTTGTATTCAATTATCCTCTAGGCTTATTATTAACCTTCAACATCCGCTTTATAACCTAATCAAGCTTTTTTCAATGTGCAATGGAAATAGATTTTCCAGCAATCTTGTTGCCCTACATCATGTCCTTTTTTCCCCATCAGAGTATAGAGCAGCTGAGGTTACAGAGATATCATGTCATGGCTATTTCTACTGATCATATTTCCATTGTTGAGGTATACTAGAATATATTTGAATTGTGCAAATTTCCCAAATCACATTGGTTTCTCATACAGCATCTCTGTGTATAGTATGTGTATTCACCAGGTATTCACTCTCTGTCCTAAACGGCTTGTTGGAGCTCCTGCCCCCCCCCCCAGCGTTCAGTCAATGGGGACTCTCTGTTAGTTAGCCAAGGGATCCTGGTGTGTGAGGTGCTCCGCGGATTGGTCCATTTGGGCCAATCCGGTCATTTGTTGTTGATTTGGGTATTCACACGTCACAGAACCCAGGAAGCAAACAATGGGAAATGAGAAATCTCCAATGAGGCGTTCTGGGGCAGCATAGACAGGTCTTTTCTGTGTTAGAGTTGTACTCGCTACAGGGTGTACTTTGAGGATTTTTGACTCTGCAGACCGTTTACATGCATACAAACCTTCATAACACACAAGGGGATGGGTAATAACCGGAAAAGCACGACATGGGCCCTTTAAACAAATCAATTAATCTGAACCTTAGAAATATAGCAGTATTACTTATTATTAGCATTAGTTATAAAGCTCAGTCTCACCATTGTCCTTATTGTTTTTTCCCGGAGTCTTTTCATTGAAATAATATTGATTTATTTCTGACTTATACAACACCAGAACCATGGACCACAGCTGAATCAATTAGTTAAATACTATTCTGTGACTTATATGTCTATATATGTCTACCCCCATCCCCATTGAACTATTTCAGTTTTTTATTTAACTTTCATTTGAGCCCTTTTCACAGACAAATAAACTGAAGTTTGACTGCTCAACACCAGGGTTCACTGTTGTGCCAGAGAGATATCCAACCTGATGTCGATTGCAGGAGCAACAGTCTCACAGCATCGACGATGAAAAACAGCCACAGTCCCTCAGATCAGTGGGCAATCTCCAGTTCATGGTGCTTGTTAAATTACTTCCAGCCCATAGACATTTTACAGCTATTTGCATTGAACACTTTGTGTAAGTATTACAGTATGACTGCAGTTATTTTCAGAAAGTGTAACCTTAACAAAATACCTCACTGTTGTTGTTGAGGAATAAGGAATATTGTTTTGATATTTTAAATTGTACTCGCTCATGCATCCATGATGACTTTTGTTTAAGGAGTACTGAGTGGGGAAGCCAGAGCTTAAATGGTTTTAGGGGGGGAAAACAAAACGGCTTGGTTAAAGCCTGTGAGTGATCCCAGCGAATGCCCTTGAAAGTAATTCAGATCTTTTTCAATGAGTTCTCCTCCTGAGGAACAGAGAAGGATACATTATGCATGCAATCTATTATTAATGGTCTTGAGTCATGTTACGATCAGATGTGGGCCCTGAGAAAATATTTGAAAAGCCTGATCCCCTAGAGGACATGTCCCTAAACATGATTATATAAAAGCAGCTATACTTACACTGTACATTATGTGATTTATTATTTACAGCAATTTCCTTCATTGTACTTTTACATGGCAGGATTTCTGCATGTATTATATTCTAAAGTTTTGAGGAACTTCACAAAAGTATGCGTACAGAACAGATGTGCTCACTGTTTACATTACATTTTGTTAATGACTTTTTATACCAAGAAGCCTCATCATGGATCACATCAGTGACTTTTTATTGATCCTCTAAAGCGATCCAATTAAAACTCTTTGCTGCTTCATCCCGAGAGTCCATTGGCTGACAACTGTTCTCGGGTCTCCACGGCCCCGCCCCCATCTGCCAGGCACTGCGCTGCAACAGCACTGTGACTGTTGATGCACTGGCGTGAGATACTACTCTAACTTTATACTGACAACTTGGATGGACTTTTACTAAAAACAGAACAATATTTAACAGCAGGACTCGTTCAAGACGCGTGCGTATCCAAACTCCACCGTTCTGGATATTTCCCTCCACTTTCCCAAGCCTTCTTTTGCAGTATGAAGTGCAGTTATGGCAAGGAGTAGCAAGTCAGTAGCGAGGACCCTGGAGGATTTGACGCTTGACTCGGGTTATGGTGGAGCCGCCGACTCCTTCAGGTCTTCCAGTGCGTCGCTGTGCTTATCAGAGGCACATGGGGGGAATCACTGGCATTTAACCGACTCGATGCACAGTCGACACAACAGTTTGGACACTGTTAACACGGTCTTGGTCGAAGACGCCGAGATCCTGGAGAGCACCGAGCAGTGTGCTAAACTACCCGAGCTTGAGGATGTGCCGTGGAGCCTCGGGGAACTGGCGAGCGCACTGTGCAGGGACAAGGAGATGACCCTGCCGCCCCCCCCGCAGGACGTCCTGCTCAGGCTTTCGGAGCTGGTCAGCCGGGCCCTGGTCAGGGTCGCAAAGGAGTCGCAGCGCCTGAGTTTGCGCTACGCCAAATGCACCAAATACGAGATCCAAAGTGCCATAAAGATCGTCCTGTCATGGAGCGTGTCGATGAGCTGCATCAGCGCGGCCCTCAGTGCCTTGTCCCTGTACAACATGAGCACGGAGGATGACAAGTTCAGCCGCGGTAAGTCGGTGCGCTGTGGACTCATCTTCAACGTGGGAAAGTTCTTCAGGTGGATGGTGGACGGCAGGATCGCGGTCAGGATCCACGAGCACGCGGCAATCTACCTGGCTGCGTGCATGGAGAGCCTCTTTCGCGAGGTCTACGCGCGGGTGCTGCGCAGCGCGCTGCTGGAGCGGGATAACGGGATCCCCAAGTTTACTGTGGAAACCCTGGACCAGGCCGTCAACACTGACGCAGAGATATGGGGGTCTCTGCAGCCCTGGCAACACCTGATATGTGGGAAGAATGCAAGTGGTGAGTTGTAAACACTGTCAGGTACATGCAACAGGGTCCTGGTCCACTTCAAATTCATACCACACAAAGAGGTAATTCCTATGCGTAATTTGCCACCTGTAGACTTCCCCCATCTTACAGTAGATATTTACACCATAAGGTAAAGGTTCTTTACTGAATTTACTCCAAACATATTAAAATAGGAGATGTATTATATAAATACATCCCTCAGATTCTTGGTGTCAGATCTCTCATAAGAAAAGGTTATATGCCACCATCAGTCAGTCTCTCTCTTTTGCTGTGGAACTGTGAACTTTACCTCAAAGACATCAGTGAAAGAGCATTTCTGCAGAGGCTGCAGGCAGGTGATGACTGGCTGGATGGGAGAGAGTTTTCCTCTTAAGGCCAGATTGCCTCCTCCGTCTTCTGTGCAGTGTTACATTGCAGACGTTATTCTCGGATATTCTCCTTATACTGTATGAGACTGTTTTGATAATGCACAAAAGCAGGGTCTGATTTCCCCAAGCTTAGTGTCTCACTTTGAGAGCTTTCAAGGGCTCTCCCCACTGGTTTTCCTACAATAATGCCCTGCAGAGTTGTGTTTTATTATTTTCACCTAGAGAGGAGGGAGCACTTCATCCCTGTTTGCACTTGCTGATTCTGGTACACAAACAAAACCTTGCCTCCAGTTTTTCGCATTCACTCTCCAAGTGTTTGGAAATACTCACTGGTGTGGTCAAAGCAACTGTAATTCTATTCAGACTTCAATGCTGCTTAAACAGCAATACATCACAAACCACTCAAACACATGCTGGCCCCTGTTTTGATGGACGTTGTAAAAGTGCTGCAGTGGCTCCTCTTGCACAGGTTTACGTAATGAAAGGCCTTGGGGGGACCTATGTGCTGTCATGCATTATGCAGACTGATGTGAATTAAACTGAGTTATAGAGTGAGGGGGAGAAAGAGAGACATACAGGCACACAGAGAGAAACTTAGAGAGACCCTGTGACTGTATTGATGAATCACCAACACCAGCCTGGTATTATGAGAAGAGCACTTTAATTTCACTGTACCTCGCTGTTTTAAAGGTACAGTCATTCATTTTTGAGGAAAACACATCTTAACATATTTACCCTTTGTTTACAACAGTCTATGATTTTAAGGCTTTAGCTGCACAGTTCGAATCATGTTGTTCATTCTGGCATATAGTATGATTATGTATATTTACTAAACAGTGCATACATCCAAAGACCAGTCATCACATGCAGTTCAGACTGCAGTAAACGTCAGAGTTGACAGTATGAGCGTTTACTGTACATTATTGAATGTCAATATTCAGCCAGTCTGGACACTCCACTTGGCATGCAGCAAGCCTCCAGCTGTAGAAAGAGGTGTGGTGCATGTTCAGTGGTGCATTGGACCGGTGAATAGGATGAGATGCAAGAGAAATATCCGGAGCTTGTGAGAATATTGATGTGAGGCCTAAGACTTGGAACTGTTTGAGTGCCTCAAACCTATGGTGTTGTGTATGTGTAATGTAAAGAGAGCTTTATAGTGCCTTTTACTCATTGTCTTGGTGTTCTGGCACACCATTCTGGTTAACTCTCACTGTTTTTTTACTTTACACCACTGCCAATTATCAAATCCTTAGCAACCTGCTATTTTACCAGCTAGTTATTCCTATGAAGAGTTGGTGGAAACAAAAGCAGAAGGGGGATAATATTAATATTAATAGTTGGCCAAATATCCTGGATTTGTAAATAGAAACATTATGCTAATAGGTTAGCCATATCAACTTAAGGAGTTATCAGAGATGTGTTTTATACAGCTAGTTTTTGCTGTCCACAAGTGGCAAAAAATCCACAGAATGTTCAACAGATCATATACCTGTTAAATAAGCTCAGTTTAAAAGCTACTTATTAGTTTATACCAGGTTTATACACATGGGTAAGTGCCATATTTCCCCCCCAGCAAAATTCTCCCTTGTACATTTTCCATATAAAGTTAAAGGTTGATAATACAGCCTGTCAGTATTGTGTTCAGAACTTGTTTCTGCTGCAAGAAAGTCAGTTATTTAGGCCAGTGGAGTTGTGCCTCTGTTGGGGCATCAGAGGAATGTCTGGTTGACTTAATATAGGAAGTTCCATATAGTGGAAGATTTCCATCACATTTCTTATTGTGGCACTGCAGGACCTCTAAGATTCAAGATATCCTCTATCTGCAGTGACGGATTAGGCTGAGGCACAGCCGCATAATTCTTTGTCTTCCCAGTAAAACCAAACATTCAGTCACTCTGCGGGTGGGTTGACCTTAACTGAGCCACTGCCTGCCAAATTGAACTTCCATATCGCTTCATCCATTCCCTCAGTCCCTCTCTGCCAAGAAGGAGCAATTGAGATGATTTTTCCATATTATGCTAACGCTGGTGACCCAGCTTTGTCAGGAGGCATTTTTGTCAATAAGTTACTAACCTTGTTGGATGCAGGGCTGTAATCGAGTCCTGTTCAGGAACATAATAGACAATGTTGTCTTTCCCATGCTAATTCCCCACTCTCCAGCATAACGTTTTAAACTGAAATTCCAGCCTAATGTGTACACCTTTTAGTTTTTTTATCTTTCGTCCACACCTGCAGCCAGGCAACAGCATAGTGACGTCAAGCAAGCATCTAGCGAAGACACAGCCTGCTAATGCTATGCTAAACTAAAGGGCTGCTCGCAGTAGCCAATTAGAGTAACCACATGGTATCAATCTTCTTATCTAATTTCCCCAAATGCCAAATTTAAACTCTCATAGGTGATCAACAATAAAGAATCTGTTCATTGACCTCTGTGAACTTTGGTACAATTACTGTCTACAAGATATGTTGTATAGGCAAGGATCTATTTCTTCATCAATTTATAAAAATAAGGGGATATAGCTTTTTATTATTTTTGTATGTATTTTTACGTCTACTAACACTAAACAGTATCCATAATTACCGTATGCTATAATGTCTGTTATACACCCACTGCCCCTCACAGCTCTGCATTGGCACTTTAGCATATGGCAGGCCTCCCACACACATACTCACTCGCACACATGCAGCAAGATGTCATGGGGGGGGCTCCTCTCACCATGTCTGAGTCAGTGTTATTTGCAGGTGGGTGTTGGGTTTCCCTTCTTCAGCAATGGTATCCTGTCAGAACAGGAAAATGCTCAATATGGTGGGATATTTCTTATGGCTCCCCCTAGACCGAGGAACACAGCGATTCTTTGATTTACCTAACGATGTGTGTATGTCACAAAAGTCTACAGCAACATGATATCCAGAGCTCAGCACCCTGAGGACACATTTCTAATCACGCTTTAGGTGTGAGATGACTTTCAAGTTGGGGCAAAGCTGATTTGGTTGAAAGATTTAAAGGAACCTTTCACCCTAATGTCATATAAAACTGATGTAGGCAAGGAACCTGGCAACTGTGAGCGCATTTTGTTTAATGGTGTTTTCATGTGTTTTTTTTTAACTCACATGTACAGGTGGCCAAACATGCATGACTTTGTGTTGAAATATTTCCAGTGCAGCGATAGGTGACTTAGTTAAAACCAAATTTCTCAACAAACTCATCGTTAAAACCATTGCATTGTTTCTGGAACTCATGCCAGGTAGCCTTAAAGTGGTAGGTGAACATATAAGAATTAACCTGCTTTAATCAATCATTTTATATTGATTTATTGATGTGTAATATGAAAGGGGTAACCCACATTGAGTTATCACCAGTTTGCAGTTCCCCTCAGTTCTGTGGAGCATGTTTTAGCTCATTGTTTTTTTGTTCTAGTCCACAAATAGACTGTATTGGTTGGCAGTCATGGTTCTCATCCGCATCACTTCCAACTGCAGAAGGCAGCTTTTTTTTTTAAATACAGCACTGCATGATAAACCCACTGTATGCATCATTCCCACCAAATATCAGGCAGACACAGAATTAGCAACTACAGTAGCTTCTTTGGTAGTGAAGCATTTAGCTTTTTAGCTCCTTGTTTGTGTTTTACTTCCCCAAGACTTTACTGTTTTGGTTCAGTCTCATTGTAAATGCATAAACAACTTGATTCTTAATAAATACAAAATAATTAATGTTTATCTAATTAAACTTTAATTTCAGTTTGACTGGACACAAATTATATTACAAAACCTATAATTGATATTGTGCAAAGAATGAATGTGATTTTTTGTCAAAATGCTTGCACTTATATTAACATATTGTTAAAAGAAATGTGTTTTTATTTAGACGTGTCATTTTTCATTGACTTCCATTCAGAGGGCCATCCATCATTGAGCTGTCAGAGATACAGAGGCACAACAGAGAATGTAGACACAACTTGCATCTATGTGGAAGTGTTGCCAGTAGCATCTGAAATATAACACTGTTGCGGGGTAATTTCATGTAATTTGAACAACCATACATGTTGCTCTGGGGCATTGTAATCTTCCCACTCATACTTTTCTTGAGTGGAAATCGCACAATTCCTACAGCACAAAAAACACACCTCTGAGGCAATTGGGGAATTGTGGAAAATCAACAACTCAACATGCACATTTGGGGAAAGTGGCTGTATACAAAAATAGTAAATTACAGTACTGTAGCACATCCCATCGGACACCATCGGACCGTTACAGTGTGAAGTGTAACCGAGGTGGGATTTTCCTTTAAAGCCTTATGTGTACCCTACACTTAGCACTAGACATTCAAAAGTGAGACTTAACTTTTCCCTGACACAAACATCATGTGTGAGAACAACTGAAGCACTTGTTGAGGGTATGATGTGTATGCTATTAGAATAGTGACACTTTACTGTTTTTACACTGGGTAGATATTGTGCTGTTTTAGTTTAGAGTGTCGCAGGGGTGAGCAAGTGCAGGTTCCATTCACAGGTCTTTTGTTCCAGTATCAAATCGTCGGCGTTACATTGCGAGGTTGGTGCCTGGTGCACACATGCTGTGGGGAAGGCAGGCAGACAGGAATGATTGCGGTTTGCAGCGGTA